AATATATGTTGAAAAGGAAAACAAAAAACAAAAAAACTAAGTCTTCCACTGCCCACAACCAGACTGTTCCCAGAGGCAAATTCTGTTACTGTTTTTTGGTATTACCACCTTTTCAGAGTTAAATATAAACATGCATATTATTCCTTGACTTTTGACAGTTATATAATAGATTTTACTGTTTTTATTCTCAAATTTTTATCCCCTCTTATTGAGGTTGAGAACTTGCTAAAGAGCACAGAGTCTTGGTTGTTACAGAAAGGATAAAAGTTACAGAAAGGATAAAAATTGGGAAAGCTGGTCAAAAGGTACAAACTTTTATAAATAAGTACTGGAGAATAATGTATATGGTGATGATAATTAACACTACTATATGATATATGTGAAAGTTGCTAAGAGAGTAAATCCTAAAAGTTCTCAACACAAAGAAAAAGAAACTTTTTTTTGTTTGTTTGTTTCCATATGAGATGATGAGTGTTAACTAAATTTACTGTGGTAGTTATTTCACAATATATGGGGGTCATTATGCTCTATACTTTAAACTCATACGGTGCTCAATGTCAACTTTATTGCAATAAAACTGGAGAAAAAACCCTAAAAGAAATAAAGAGGGGCACCTGGGTGGCTCAGGTCATGATCCCAGGGTCCTGGGATTGAGCTCCACTTTGGGCTCCCTGCCCAGCGGGAAGCCTGCTTCTCCCTCTGCCAGCCACTGGCCCTGCTTGTGTTCTCTCTCTCGCTCTGTCTCTCTCTGTCAAATAGACAAATAAAATCTTAAAAAAAAAAAAATCAAAGTTTAAAAAATAAATAAAAGAAATGAGGAAAAATAACTAGAGTAAATATTCTAAATATTAACATATCTGTTTTCAGAGCTAGGAAATCTCATAAACCATGTTTTTTTTTTTTCACTTATTAGTTGCTAGACAGATTCTGAATATTGGGATTTTTTAAAAGTAGAATTTAAAAAACATAGCATAGGGGCGCCTGGGTGGCTCAGTGGGTTAAGCCTCTGCCTTCGGCTCAGGTCATGATCTCAGGGTCCTGGGATGGAGTCCCGCATCGGGCTCTCTGCTCAGCGGAGAACCTGCTTCCTCCTCTCTCTCTCTGCCTGCCTCTCTGCCTGCTTGTGATCTCTCTCTGTGAAATAAATAAATAAAATCTTTAAAAAAAAAAATAAAAAAAATTAAAAAAAAAAAACATAGCATATACCTGGTTTTTTTTTTCTCTGTAGAAACAAAAAAAATTCCTATAAAAGTTATTCCTATAACTTTTCTAAAGGATGATACAGATAAATTGGCCAACCACAGGCCACATCAGCACAACTTATAAGCAGTATGAATTGAGAATGCCTAGAGCTTTTGGACAAAGTAATCACTTTCTTTATTTTTTTTAAAAGATTTTATTTATTTATTTGCCAGACAGAGATCACAAGTAGGCAGAAAGGCAGGCAGAGAGAGAGAGAGAGAAGAGGAAGCAGGCTCCCTGCTGAGCAGAGAGCCCGATGTGGGGCTCGATCCCAGAACCCTGGGATCATGACCTGAGCCGAAGACAAAGGTTTTAACCCACTGAGCCACCCAGACGCCCGATAATCATTTTTTTTAGACCATAATATATTGACAAAGCTTTATTGATCAAAACCTCATTTCACAAAACCTTGTTTCCTTCTATAACCACCACCAAGAACACACATCTACACACAGGCATATGAAGGTTGAGAAGGGTAAAAACAATTTTTTTTAAGCAGTAAGGCAGTATTTTAAGGCTGATGATTTTTATTGCTTATGTCTAAATGTTGAAATCTTTGCTACTCTCAAATTATTAGAATTAACTTAAAAATATCATCCATGAAAATAATGCCTTTGAGGCATGTGAATTTTATTTTGTAGACTAAATAAACGTGATAAAAGTAATTTCTAAAATTTTCTATCATATACATACATATGCTTGTATGTGCTTATGTAGTATACATAACATATATCTTATATATACTATATTATATGACGATAAAAATTTAGTATACATAGTTAAGTATATTAAAGTTATTACATTAAGTGTATTTATCTATGTAGAATGTGTATACATATATATGCAGAATACACATATTAAGTGTACATGTATGTGTGTGTATATTATATATAAATATATATATATATATAAAATATAAAATCACTTAATCCTCCAATATCCAGATGATTTCTTCTGAAGAAATATAAGTTTGAGGCCACTAGGTAACCCAGTAATATTTTTCTAATTTAAGGGGAAAAGAGCATAACCTTCTTCTTGATGCTAAGCTAATCCTGAATAACAGAAAATCCCATAAGTGAAAAGAATTATGGAGCAAATTCTGATGATACAAATGCACAACATTCTCAGTTACCGACCACCTGAAAACTATATTTGATTTAATCTTTAAGACTGACTTCTACCCATCACTGTGTAATGCCACATGATAAAGAAATGCTTCAGTTATCAACCTGATATCTTCTAAAAGAAAAATTTTGATTTTGCATAGAAAGAGTTGAAACTGCCAGTGTCTTATAAGTTTGGCTCTGAGTTTACCAGATCACTGTCTTTTTAAAAAAAATTTAAAAAAGATTTTATTTATTTATTTGACAGAGAGAGAGAGAGACAGTGAGAGAGGGAACATAAGAGGAAGAGTGGGAAAGGGAGAGGCAGGCTTCCTGCTGAGCAGGGAACCCAATGTGGGGTTTGATCCCAGGACGCCAAGATCATGACCTGAGCCGAAGGCAGCCACTTAACTGACTGAGCCACCCTGGCGCCCCTTACCAGATCACTGTCTTTAAAAAAAGTGGCCTGGGGGTGCCTTGGTGGCTCAGTTGGTTAAGCATCCAACTTCGGCTCAGGTCATGATCTCGGGGTCCTGGCACTGAGGCCCGTGTGGGGCTCTGAACTCAACAGGAAGTCTGCTTCTCTCTCTTCCTCTGCCTCTCCCCCTGGTCATGCTCTCTCTCTTTCTCTCTAATACATAAAATCTTTTTTTAAAAAGTGGTTCAAGGGGTGCCTGGGTGACTCAGTGGGTTAAGCCTCTGCCTTTGGCTCAGGTCATGATCTCAGGGTCCTGGAATCAAGCCCGGCATCGGGCTCTCTCCTCAGCGGGGAGCCCGCTCCACCCCCCGCCCCGCCTGCTTCTCTGCCTACTTATGATCTCTGTCAAAAATAAATAAAATCTTTTTTTTTTAAAAAGTGGTTCAAACATTCTCCCCCTGCCCCCAAAGGTATCTATTTATTTATTTGAGAGACAGACAGGGAGAGAGCATGCGGGAGTAAGGTGTAGGGAATGACGAGGGGCAGAAGGAGAGGAAGAGAGAGAATCTCAAGTAGACTTTGTGTTGAGCACCGAGCCCAACTCGGGGCTCCATTCCATCACCCTGAGATCATGACCTGAGCCAAATGAGTCACCCAAGCGCACCCAATTATTATTATTATTTTAATTTTATTTTTTATAAACATATAATATATTTTTATCCCCAGGGGTACAGGTCTGTGAATCGCCGGGTTTACACACTTCACAGCACTCACCATAGCACATACCCTCCCCAATGTCCATAACCCCACCCCCCTCAACCCCCCTCCCCCCAATTATTATTTTTAATACAATATTTAAATCACTTTGTATCTCGTTGAAATAGAAGTATGGTTAGTTAACATTTCTTCAGGAATATTCTGTCCTCTGACACCAATTATTTGAATAGCCTAGTTTCCAAAGAGTTTTTTCCCATACATGATATCATTCAATCCTTCCTACAGTCACCCAAATAGGTACTACTCCCATTTTTAAAGAAAAGAAAACTGAACATTGATTCTGAAACCAAGTCCCACACTGTTCTCATGAAACTGAGAAGGGACAGAATGAGGAGCAAATCCTTGGAAGCAAGTAACATTTTAAATATTACAATTTGTGGATTGTGTTTCACAGGCTTTCAATAAATTGAAAGGGAGATAATTTTAATCCCATGTGTACTCATTCTGAAATATAATTAAAAACCATATTCATCTACGTACTCATCCAAGCCTTTATTAAGTGCCTACCAAATACACAATCCTGGGCAAAATATTAAAGGACTACAAAGATGAATTTTAAAATGGTTCCAACTCCCAGAGGGTTTAGAATCTAATTATAGTGACAAATAGTTTTAACACAAACTGTAGGAAGGAATTATAAGGAAACATGTGCCCTTGAGAAAAATCACCTTATTTCTTAATTTAAAGCATAAATTTCCACCTGGGAAACACTGCTATTATAAACACCTTAACTAGTTCATTCTCTTTAGAGGAGGTTGTTTTTAGAAAATAAAATGTCTTATCCTATCACATCTTTATGTCTGGTTTGAATTTTTTAAAAACAAAAATTTGCTTAAAGATGAAAAATGATAGATTCATACAAATTACCATCATGCACAGAAAGACAAAATATATCCACAATAATGTACAAAAATTTGAGCACAACCGGGTCTACTATTAAAGAGTTAAATCTGAATTACTTTGGAGGTTTGCCTTGGACAAATTATTATGCACAATTTCATCATATATACAAGTGTTGATATTTACCCCCAATTAAGATTTTAACATAGATTTTTATAATTACCTCTGTCATAATACACAAGGTTAAAAAAAAAAAACCTGGTATAAAAGCTTTTCTAATAATTTACATATCAAAAATAATTTGGAATAAAACTAGGGATAAAAAGAAAAAGTCATGATAGTGTGGATAATTTAACAGCAAACAGTACAGTAATGAACGCAAATTTGTAAGGACCTATTTTTTTCTATATTTTATTATTATTATTTTTAAAGATTTTATTTATTTATTTGACAGACAGAGATCACAAGGAGGCAGAGAGGTAGGCAGAGAGAGAGAGGGGGAAGCAGGCTCCCTGCTGAGCAGAGAGCCCGATGCCTGGGCTTGATCCCAGCACCCTGGGATCATGACCTGAGCCAAAGGCAGAGGCTTTAACCCACTGAGCCACCCAGGCACCCCTCTTTTTTATTGCTTTTTAAAAAATGGCTCAGATAAGAAACTTTAAATACCCAGTAAAACAAGTGTGAGGATTCATTTTGTGAGATGTATCACAGAGGAAAAGAATGGGCAAATAGTATAATTTGAAGATTTATTGATTCAGACTTTCCAGAAAAATTTTTTTGAATCACCAAAAGCCAATACTTCTGCTCTCAATGCCATGCCATTTGTTTCCACACCAAATACAGAAGTAACATATACTTTTCTAACCAATCAGTTTGTGACAACTATGATTCTCAAATGCTCTTTTAAAGAATACAAGTAAGATCAAAGTTGCGAACCATCAGGAGTGATTAAAAAACTTGACTAGGCAGAGCCTTACCCTAAATGACCTGAACAACAGTTTGGCTGGACTTGGGCCTTTTCAGGTTACAGATGACTTTGCTCAAGAGCCCTGTACCTGTTGGAGGGCTCTTGTAGATGTTCTTCACACCACAAGCATGGATGGTTAGGCCCACGGCTGCCATCGACAGTGCAGGCGCAGATGGGAGAGCCGTAGGGACTGTGTTACTCCTTAACAGATTTCTCTTCTTCGCTCTCTTCATCAGCTTCCTCTTTTTCCTTGTAAGAATCCTGGCTGTTCGTATCCATAAAATGATTTTCCTCCCCACTCTCTCTTTCTTCTCTTTTTTCTTCTTCCTCAAAGCTGGAGGAAGAAATTTATCAATCTTTCAAAGGAAAAATGATTTGGTTTAAAGGTCAACAAACCCTTTGCAACGTATGCCATCATGCAGTCTTCCTTCCTCAAGTGTATGAGCTCCGATTTATCAAGAAAACTCTATAAGTTCCCAATTGGGAACTTATCTATTTCCAACCTTGAGTGACTCTTTAAACTTCATTTGAAAACATCTTAGTATTTTCATCATTCATGTCAGTCAGAAAGTTAAATTACTCTCCTTTAAAAACAAGATACTTCATCACCATGTCATTTTGTCATTTTGAATGTGCCAAGTGTTAAAATATCAATGTTTTACAAACAGTTCACATGTATTTTGTTAGGTTAAAAGATATTCTAAAAATATAGGACAGAATTTTATGCTTTCTGGCAGGTAAGAATTTTTTCAAAGGTAAACCATTTAGACATCTTATATATGTTACCTTTCTTTATCTTCAGCGAAGCTCTTCATCTCTTGATTGCTGAAGTACTCAATTATTTTTCCACTTTGGCCTTTCTTTGAAACAAACTCATCAGACAGTCCTAGTGCTTTTAGGGTGTTAGAATAATGCTTTTCTGCTGCCATTCTTGCATTTTTCTATAGGAAAGACAAACCTTTTTAGAGGAGAACAGAAGACTAAATTTCCATTAAAAACGTAGGGGTTAAAAACTCCAGTGAAAATTAAACCCAATAATCACAGGTGGCTGACAGTACACAGACCTTCTGACCAGCAATCCCACTCCCAGGCCTATTCCCAGAGAAGCTCCCACATATGTGCTCCAGAAGACCTGTACCAAAATACACAGGACACTACTGTTTGGAACAACCCCAAACATCTCTCAACAAAAGGATGGATAAATCGTGGTCTATTCATACAACAGAGTAAAATAAAGCAATGACAATGAATGAACTCTAGTTGTACATGACCATATGGACAGATCTCATGAACATACTACTAAGGAAAAGAAGCAAAACACAAGAGAATACGTATAGTATGTATGATTCATTTACATAAAGTTCCCAAATGGGCGAAACTAAACTATACTGTGTGGGAAAAGATACACAGGATGGTAAAACTGCAAAACACAAGCAACAATAATAACAAAAACAAGGAAGTGTTAATCTCAAAAATTAGAATGGTGGCTACCTCTGGGAGAGTAGGAGAGGGTTTCGATTTGGAATGGGCACAAAGGGTTTCTGGGGTGCTGGCAATGTTCTGTTTATTAACCTAGGTAGTAGCCACATGAGTTTTGGTCTATAGTTATTCTTTGCACTCTACCTGTTTTATATACTTTTTAAAAAATACACCTTTATGACTATTGACGACTATCTGGAAACACCAGGAAGAAAATAAGTTTGTGATAGTTGTCAGAGGGTTCTTTTAGTTTATGTACCTACTGTAACTTTTATTCTTTACATGCTATATCTCTAATCCCTCAAAGATGATAAATTCATCACTGTTATCTTTAATCAGGAGGAATCAAGGGATACAGCAAAAAGACCAAGAACTTAGCACTGGGTTCAAATCTCCAGAATGTTGTTTCCTGGCTTTGGCACCTGTGAAATTGTGATGAGCCTCTCACACCTGAAGCAAGACAGGAAGGAGTTAGCACAGTTTCTGAGACCACGGGCTTCCCACAGTCACAGGAGGACTGGGGTTCACACTAGTGTCTCAGCTTTGGTCACCTTTTACCTCCTATGAGTATAGGGCCAAGAATTGCCATCTTGTCCTCCAACTGAAGGAAGGTAACTAGGAATGGGCCAGTTCCAGTGCACCAATGGCACCCCATATTGGAGAGGGTGTGGGAGAGCACCCAGTCTCACCCCCGAATTTAACAAATAAGGAAACTGAAACACTCCCTCCACTCCCACTAAGGTTAAGCAGTTTGCTTAAGGTCACAAGGATAGTGAGTGGTAGAACCAAGTCTCTTGACCATTTCCTGGGTCTTTTCCATGGCACCATCCTACTTTCTCTAAGTAGTAGTGCTCATCCCGGAGTGTGAAGGTAACTGAAACCTGACTTCAGCAAAGCAGGTGTCAGATATTTATTTGGCTAACCTAGGGACTCCAGCATCATGAGGGGCCATGGCATCTAGTGTTCCACAGGACAAACCAAAATAACAGATTGATTACAATGGATAAACTGTCACCGGTGATTTCCTGATGTTCTGGAAAACTAAAAACACACTCAAACTGTTGCTAAAATGCACCCACTATGAATAACAACGATTTTCAGAAAAGTTAAAAAAAAATGCAGCCGGGGGCACCTGGGTGGCTCAGTCAGTCAGTTAAGCTCAGGTCATGATCGCAGGGTCCTGGGATCAAGTGGGACATCAGGCTCCCTGCTCAGAGGGGAATCTGCTTCTCCCTCTTCTTCTCTCCCTCCCCTCCTGCTCTTGTTCTCTCTTGCTCTCAAATAAATAAAATCTTTTTTTAAAAATATTTTATTTATTTATTTGACAGACAGAGATCACAAGTAGGCAGAGAGGACGGCAGCGGGGGCAGGGGTGGGTGGGGGATGCAGGCTCCCCGCTGAGAAGAGAGCCCTCCATGAGGCTCCATTCCAGGACCCTGAGATCATGACCTGAGCTGAAGGCAGAGGCTTAACCCATTGAGCCACCCAGGTGCCCCTAAATAAATAAAATCTTTAAAAAAATGCATCCAGAGGCTATGAACACCAATATACAAGCTTTGAGAAACTGAAAGTCATGGCAAAGTGAGAAAATAAGAACTGCTCCAAAGACAGTAAAGCAGAATAAAGAAAACCCAGACCTAACTCTAAATGCATTAAGAACAGTATATTCTGATATAAGCAAATTAAATATAAAAGACATTAAAATGATACCCAAGTCAGTGCTCATAAGTCTTCATTTGAACTTGGTTTAGAATTTAGAATTTACTCAATTAATAAACCCTGTGATTTCCAAGAAATAGGACAACATGGTTTGTTCTGTCCCAGATCATAGCCTTACTCTGCGAGAGAACAACTCAACAACAGCAAGATCACAATTAACACTAATAAATGGATAATGCACAAAGTTGTGAGTGAATTTATCAAATAACAGCTGTTAATTAGCAGCAGTAGTCACAGCAAAACAGACTGCAAGAAAAAGCTGCACTAATTTGTGTTAACAAAACCAAAGCAATGGTGAGTCACTGCCAGTCACTCTATATACAGAATTAATTACTTTTACATATTTTCTATGAAGGAGAATAGTATATAATTACTCTTAATTGAAATAAACATTTCCTCCTTGCATTTCACCATGCAAATAATTGCACAGACTACAAGATAAAAGGAACAATTAAAATAACTGTATGATTATTTGATTTTACTATCAAAGATTGCGAAAAAAATTAGTGTTGCTTCTTCAGGAAACCAAAATAACATGCAATGATGAAAGTTTGTCTACAATCAGTGCCCTCATTTGAAGGGGAAAAATACTTTTCATAACCGTAAGTTTCATTTGTAGTAACTCTTTTACTTATTTAATTACTGAATACTTCTTGGGGCACCTGGGTGGCTCAGTGGGTTAAGCCTCTGCCTTCAGCTCCGGTCCTGATCTCAGGTCCTGGGATTGAGCCCCAGTGCAGGTTCTCTGCTCAGCGGGGAGCCTGCTTCCACCCACCCCCCCCAACCTCTCTGCCTGACTCTCTGCCTACTTGTGATCTCTCTCTGTCAAATAAATAAATTAATTAAATTAAATAAAAAATCTTTAATTACTGAATACTTCTTTTGTAACAAGTCCTTATGGGAGGTAGGGGGGTATATATGGAGAGAGAAGTATTTTTGGACAAAGGGACCAGTATATGTGAGGGCCAGAAGTGGCAGAAGTAGAATGAGCTGTGATACTGATCTATGTTTTCAACATTTAAAATTTCTCTATGGGTTTAATTTCACACACGCTACATATTCAGCCTCACTTTCTCTAGTGCTTAGAAGCAGCAGGATTCATAGCATGGCTCAACTGCTCACTCCTGCTGAGACTCATCACTAAGAGGGGGGTGCTCTCATCCCCCCTCCCCCCCTCCCCCACATCCCCCAACCCCCCCTCCACTTCCCACCACTAATCCCAGAAAAAAAGCAAGAGGTCACAGTCTGGCTAATTTAATCCTGACAGTTCAGTTCTGGTTCAATAAATGTTTATTAACATCTCCTCTGTGCCAGACGTTATCCTGGGTGCTAGGTGCTGGGAATACAAACATTTGAACACAACTTTTAAAAGGAACTAGTTAGAAGGGAAGAGAGATCCTGAAACAGGTAATTCCACACAGCAGTGGCAGGAGTGAAGACAGAAGTATGCAAAGGGTAATGAAAAACACAGGAAAAGGCACCCGATCCGACCTGGGAAACAATGCAAGAAGTGATTTTATATGAAGACTTGAAAGATCAGGAGGAAAAACAGGAAGAGGCTCTAAGAGTGTTCAGAAACAGCATGAATAAAGATTTCAAGTTTGAAACTAGTGGTTTGGTATGGTCTGAAAGTAAAGGGTGTCCTTGGTGAGGGGGCAGGGGCAGTGCTGTGGCTGATGAATTTGGTTTAGAATTTAGAATCTACTCAATTAAAGGTTAATAGGGATCAGAGTGTAGAGGGGTCTACTCACTACGCTGAGACTCGTGGAGGTATCTTCTGGGAGAAGGCAGGACAGCTTAGTCTTAACTGTTTGGAAGCAGATGGACTGGGGTCCAATCCTAGCTCCATTGCTGACTACCTATAGACCTAATTAGTTACTTACCTCCTTTGAACTTCAGTTTTTTCCTCTGTAATACATGGATACCCACTTTGTAGTATTGTTTGAAGAAGTCAGTGACAAGACCTCTTGATCCCATTCATTGAAAATGAGAATGAGTACCATCAATGAAAATGCACGATTGTCACCACTACCAAAAGTTATTTACTACCTACCCAGGGTTAACATTTTGGCAAGGGAACGGGAATGGTAAAGTGAAAATATAATGGGTGGCTTTGCAAAGAGCAAGGCTGGAAAACCAGTCAAACGATTACAATAACTCAGAGAGGAGATAATAGAGACTTCACATGGCATTTCACCTTCAGGAATGGAGAAAGGCAGATCCAAAAATTATTTAGGAAGAAAACTCGTCAGGTCTCTCAGTGGCAATTGAAAGAGGGAGGAAAAGTGGTTCCCAGCCACCAAAATTGTGGCCCAACAAAAACAGGAAATCAAAGAGGAAGATCTAGTTTGAGGCAAGATAAATGTAGATGTCTGTGGGAAATCTGTGTAGATATAACCACCAGACAGACAGAAAGACATAAAACCTGCAGCTGGGAGCTGGAAAGAACTATTTTGAGCTTAAGTCAATCACTTTCCACTAGGTAATACAGAATTTTTCTGTATTTTTCCCTTTAAAGTTGAAACTGAGATATTTAAAAAAGAAACCCACCCTTAAAATGAAAAGTGTTACATAAAATTATGTCCAAACCTGTAGGTAAAGGGTTCCCAAAACTTTGAGAGACTGAATATGTAAATTCACCTGAATATGTAAAGCCATGTCCCTGTCCTTGGTGCATTGAGAAGGATGGTCCTGCAATGTTGGCAGGAAGCTCCAAATGCAACAGCTTGAAAATCACAACACAGCACCTGTAACCTCCAGTGATCCTGTCTATTGTTAAACTATGTCACCCATAAGAAGACCTACCTTCTGAGTACAAAGAAGATGATGCAAAATGGACAGATAATCTCTTAGAGGAAGATTGTAAAACCAACTATACATTTAGTAAAACCAGGACTCACTGTCCATAGGACCAAATTATTTTCCCAATGAAAAGGAAGTGGACTCACTGTCCATAGGACCAAATTATTTTCCCAATGAAAAGGAAGTCCTTTCAGTAGTTGTAGATAAGAATGAAAATTACAGGCTCACTTAAAAAAAAAAAAACGATCAGCAAAATGAAAAGGCAACCTACTGAATGGAGAAAATATCTGCAAATGATATATCTGAAAAGTGGGTTAATATCCAAAATATATAAAAAAGTCATAAAAGTCAATAGCAAAAAATGAAATAATCCAATTTAAAATGGGCAAAGGATCTGAATAGACATTTTTCCAAAGAAGATACTCAAATGGCCAACAGGTACCTAAAAAGGCCAAAAGGTGCTTAATGTCACTGATCGTCAGGGAAATGCAAATCAAAACCACAATGAGGTATCACCTCACACCTGTTAGAATGGCTAGTATCAAAAAGATAAGAGATAACAAATGCTATGCTCAGAGGATGTGGAGAAAAGGGAGCCCTTGTGCACTGTTGGTAGGGATGTAAAATAGAACGGCCACTATGGAAAACAGTACAGAGGTTCCTCAAAAAGTTAAAAACATAAATATGATACAATCCAGTGATATCCAACTTCTGGGTATTTAACTGAAGGAAACAAAATCATTACGTTGAAGAGATACCTGCACCCCACATTCACGGAAGCATTAATTACAATAGCCAAGACAGGGAAACAACATAAGTATCCATCAAAAGATGAATGGGTAAAGAAAATGTGGTGTACATGCAAGGAATACTATTTGGCCATTAAAAAGGAAGTCCTGCCATATGCAATGATATGGATAGACTTTGAGGACTTTATGCTAAGTGAAATAAGTCACACAGAGGAAGACAAGGGCTACAGATCTCACTTATATGTGGAATCTAAAAACAAAAACAAACTCATAGGAAAACAGATCAGAATTGTGGTTACCAGAGGAATTGGATGAAGGCAGTCAAAGGTATAAGCCTCTAATTATAAGATAAATAAGTACTGGGAATGTAATGTACAACATGATGACTGTAGTTAATACCACTGTATGGCGTATCTGAAAGCTGCTAAGAGAGTAAATCCCAAAAGGTCAGATTTTAGTAAATCCTAAAAGTTCAGTATTACACAAGGTGTGGGTTTTTAACTAAACTTATGGTAGTAATCGTTTTGCCATATATGTATGTCAAGTCACATGCTGTACATCTTAACTGTACATGGTGCTCTAGGTCAGTTATATCTCAATGAAACTGAAAAAAAAAACTGGCAGAAAGAAATCTGATTCCATTAGCATTTTGTTTCATTTTTTAATTCTTAAACATTCATCTTTTAATTCTTCAAGGACTTCCAAATCATATAGTGAAGACTCACCTTAATATATGACTAAGTTAGTACTAAAAAAAAAGAAAAGACCAGCCATGAAAAACAGGTTGTGAAACTATTATTTTGACTATGACTGCATCAGCAGCACATTCTGTATCAAGCTGACATGCGTCCTTGACTAGCTTTGATGTTCAGATTTAAGCACAAACTTACTTGACTGATTTGATGAACCTGTCACAGAAACAATAATATGTCTCAATAAATTATATAACATGTAAGAAAAATGGACTGTAAGTTAGGAGCTAGAGATGTTTAAAAAAAAAAAAAGGTTGACTGAAACTCTTAAATTCCAACAAACACAACCTGAGCAACTCTTTCAAATAGTAGCGGCCTGTGTCTTAATTTTTCTTCTCTTTCTTCTAGTTCTCGTTGGTATTCTCTCATCCTTTCCTTTTCACTCTTTCTAAAATCAAATAAAAGGAATGGAATTTTAAAAGAAATAACAGCTTACAGATAGAACATTTAGCTTAGATGACAAATCAGAAATTAAATTACAAGCATGGCTTACAGTTTACCACAATTCCTTTCCTAGACTGGTAAATTTTTATGGAATGCAGAATAAAAACCCTAGGTTGTGAGAGCACACATTTTACATCCTGGGAACAGTCTGGATACTCTGATTTTCTGAAATTTTAAAAATATAATGTATTAAATTGGCTTGAAGAAATGAATAAATGCCCTCTTAACTCAAATTTTAAGTGCAGAAAATCAAGAAAATTTAGTCTAAAGATCTCCTATAGGTTGGTGGCAAAGTTAATTAAATTCAAGCAGGTCAGGGGAAAATAGAGAATAAGGGAATAGGACATGGACAGGAAAAGGAACCAAAATACATAAATTCACGTTAAATGTACTTACTATTTGCACAAGATCCTATAGTGAATAAAATACACTTTTTCCTGTATGTAAAACATACTAACTCTACTAAGATAATAAGATTTCATGGATTAGAGAAAATAATTATACTACAGAATGATAATTATGCTTAATTATACACAAAATTGGTATTATGAAAAATCCAGTTTACTTTCTTAGGATGAAGAGTATATTTCTAAAAAATTTTTGCTCAAGTTCATCAAATTTCTCCCTCTATCATGAATTACACTGATATACATTATAAGGAATATAAACATAATATATATTATAAAGGAATATAATTATTATTATAAACAATATGTATTTAAAAAGGAATAACTCATAATTAAAAGCAAATATAGATTTGGGATTTGGGTGGTACTTATAAATCAGATTAAAAATAAATCATATTACTTACCCAGCTTTGGGGGGAGATATTTTCCTACTTAAACATGAACATTTTTACAGAAAAATGTTCCTCTGGAACACTGGTTTTCAAACTTTGTACGGCAGAATTCCAGTGCTCTGTGAAGGGGTTCTGCAAATATTTTTATTTATTTATATTTGTTTATATTAGAACTACAATGAAATTCAACACACATGCTGAACACATACACGTGTTAACTGACACATCACATAACTGATGTTAATTGACATCAATGTGTTCATTTGTGATATCAGATTTCATGCAGACCTTAGAACAAAGCTCTCTTACAGATCAATTTATTGAAGAATATTCTGAGATTACACAGCAAACTATTAAAAAAGAGCTTTATCTGACATCGGGCTCCCTGCTCAGTGGGAAGTCTGCTTCTCCCTCTCTCACCCCCCCTGCTTGTCTGTCAAATAAATAAATAAAATCTTAAAAAAAAAAAAAACTAAAAAGAAAAAGATTTTTTTTCAATATTGTACTGGGCTATCAAAAATAGTATAAAGAAGGGGCCCCTGGCTGGCTCAATTGGTGGAGCACAGAACTCTTAGTCTCAGGTCAGGTCATACTAAGGCCCCACATTGGGCACGGAGCCTACTTTAAAAAAAAAATAGTATAAAGTAAAAGAAAAGATTAGATACTGACATACGGTTACAACTATTAACTATGGCCATGATATAAAATGTTTCAGTTCATCAACATGGCATTATAATCCTCACCATGAGGTGAGGTGAGTGAGTGTGAATGTGCATGTGTCTGTGCGTTGAGTGTAACTGATAGCAACTCGAATCCAGAAACTAAAATACTAATTAATCTGTTCATATATTGTATCCACTGATTAAGAAAGAAAGTTTGAAAACCAATGATCTGGAGGTTCAGGATTCTTTTATGATACCTGAGAGATTTGACTCTGGATTTAGACATTTGAGCTAAACTTTGATGTGAGTCATAAGCCTTAGCCCGGATTGTCAGGAGTTTCTGCAATTCTTTCATTCTTTGCTTCTGCTTAGTTAGGATCCGATTTCTCTCTTCTTCCAACATTTTCTTTTCCTCAAGTGATCTCCTGAGGGCAACAAACTAAGGCTTAATTCACTTTAAGCCAATGAGAATGTGATTTAGCAAAGATTTAACATGGGAAAATTTAAACACTGAAAAAAGGCTCTGACTTGTGCAACTGGAAAGCAACAGGATGACTATCTTTTCTATCCCTGGAGATTCGTAAAATGGAAAAGATACTCATTTCTTAGAAGGACACTCTCTGGCAAAATGCTCTGCCTTATTTAGTAAAATATATTACCAAATCTATTTCTTCCTATTTTCCAAATGACCAACACAAAAATCAATAGAGCTACAAACACTATTTTAGCAGCCGTGAGTCGGTTGGCACTACATTCTAGTCATTTACCTCGTGGCTTGCTCTCTTCCTCTGGAAGACACTGTGGGCACTGGAGGGTTGTAGTTACAAGGCACAGGCTTTGCACTTGCACTTCTTACTGTCAGTCTGTGCCTTGGAGAGAGATTAGGCCGTGTTTCTTTTAAATGTTCTTCATCTGCTGCAATGTCTGCCAGAGTTTTCTCTCTTTTAGTGGATGCGCTAGAGGCCACATGAAGACCAGACGGTTTACGGCCAACGGTTAGGAGTTTTGAACACTTCTGTTCTGAGAGATGTTTCCGGTATCTCTCAGGAAGGTCTTCAAAATCGGCAGTCTGGCATCTCAACTTGTGTTTACACTTCAACTTTTCAACCTGTTCAGGACACTTGAGCTTCCTTGGAGCACAGCTTCTGCGACCTGACCTACAAGGCAGAGGAGATGAATACTGCAAAAGCTCTTGGGCCCTCAGCTGCGTCACAATCTCTCTATAGAGCTCTTCTTCTTTTAATTTTTCATTGGAGGTTGAGCCATAAGTAGATCGAGGTATAGGTCTGGCCTTAAATTGATTTGTTTTCTTTTTAGACTTGCATAAGTCTCTCAGCTGCTTTTCCCGGATTGCTTGCTTCTGTTCCTCCCTTGCAATAAACTTAAATGGTTTTTGTGAGGCCAAAAGAGCTTCTTTGGTTTTTTCCTTCAAACGCCTCCTGCGTTCTTCATTTTGCTTGACTATGTCATGATAAAGGGGGAGAAAGACGAATGCAGGAACTGGATTGGCTCGGAATTTTTTCTTACACTCTGATTCTTCTTGTTCTCTGAGCACTTGGTGTGCCATTTCAATATCTGATTTAGATTTCATGTTCTCTTCTTTTTTCCTCTGTTCCCTAATCATCATTTGAAAAGGCTCAGGTACTGTAATCTTTGGCACCCATTCTCTTGGTTTCTTCTTTGTTTTTTCAACTGCAGGGAAATCAGCATCTTTATACTGAATATAATCTTCAACAGAAAAATTTGTCCACATGTTGTTAATGAGTTCTTTAGCATAGCTCATCACCCTCTTTTTCTCAGGATACTCTTTTTCTGAGTTCGGCAACTCATCTTCAGAGGAAGACATAGTCAAGGAGGAAGGCTGCCCTAAATCAGGCTCTGAAAATGATGTCATTAATGAGATAGTGTGATAGGAGTTCTTTTCTGAATCAGACCTGTATGAAAAGAATACTAAAGTTATACTCTCAGTTGCATGTGACCAGATATAAAAATTAAGAACTAAAAGATCAAGGTATACTCAGAAGATAGGTGCTGGATAGATAGGCCTTGTAATTATCACTTTTATTTAGAATAGAGCTAAGAGATGCCTATAAATTATCTAATTCAATTCTCTCATTTTCAGGGGAACCTGAGGCAGCAGAGGCTCCTTGTGGCTAACCTCTATTAAATTCTCCATATGTTTTCCAGAGTCACCATCTTAAAACATACATCAGGTCACTCCCCTTCTTGAAACTTTTCTATGATGTGCCATTGTAACAAAGTCTAGATTATAAAGTCCTTCAAGACTAGCCTCTCTCTGGGGCACCTTGGTGGCTCAGTTGCTTAAACGTCTATCTTTGGCTCAGGTCAGGATCCCAGGGTCCTGAGATCAAGCCCTGTGTCGGGCTCCCTCCTCAGTGGGAAGTCTTCTTCTCCTTCTCCCTCTGCTACTCCCCCACTTATGGACTCCCTCTCTCAAATAAATACATAAAATCTTAAAAAAAAAATGGGGTGCCTGGGTGGCTCAGATGGTTAAGCATCTGCCTTCAGCTCAGGTCAGGATCCAGAGTCCTGAGATCAAGCCCTGCATCAGGTTCTCTGCTTGGTGGGGAGTCTGCTTCTCTCTCTCCCTCTGCTCCTCCCCCACTCGTGCTTTTTCTCTCTCTCTCATTTTCTCTCTCTCTCTCTCTTAGATAAAGTCTTAAAAAAAGAAAAGACTAGTCCCCTTTTACCTTTCCTGTTTCACTTCTTGCCTCTCTCTACCTTCAGTTACCAATCTTGAGTCATATCCAACCATATGAAGTTCCTCGTACACACCATGAAGTCTCATACTGCCATGCCACCGCACACATGGTTTCTGTGGCCTAGAAGCCCACTCCTTACTTCCTGCATCTGCTACAGCTACTCCTCCTTTAATACAGAACTTGGATATGATAGTTCCATAGAAAATTCCTGCTTGTATCCCTCTACCAACACCATGACATGATCAGTTGCTTCTTCTTCTGTCTCCATAACACTGTCACATCAGGTTGTATCACAATTTTTGGTTCTCAGTTAGTTTTTGAGCTCCTTTTTTTAGTATATGTGCTGCCGAAGCGAGCACAGTTTTTGAGCTCCTTAAGGGCAACTTGATTTTTGACTCCTCAGTGTCCAGGCAACTTCTGGCACACAGGAGATACATAGTTAGCATTGACCAACTGGATGAGTTAAGAGACCTGCCTCAAGTTTCAAAAACAAGAGAGTTCATAGGAGAAATGGGTCCAGAAATTACAGACTATTTTGAAAACCTGAATTAGATTTATGTCTTACTCCTGAACTGTTTGTGTGTGGGAGTGTGCATGTGTGTGTGTGTGTGTGTGTGTGTGTGTGTGTGTGTGTAATTTATTTTTTTACTTAATTATTTTTTCAAGTAACAGAAGCAGGAAAGTTTATCAAAATGAAAAGTACAGGGCGCCTGGGTGGCTCAATGGGTTAACTCTCTGCCTTTGGCTCAGGTCATGATCTCAGGGTCCTGGGATTGAGGCCCGCATCGGGCTCTCTGCTCAGCAGGGAGCCTGCTTCCCCCTCTCCCTCTGTCCCTCTACCTGCCTCTCTGTCTACTTGTGATCTTTCTCTCTCTGTCAAATAAATAAGTAAAATCTTAAAAAAAAAACAAAAAACGAAAAGTACACTCTTGAGATATAAGAGTGGGAGCACTCAAGAGAGAGAGCAGTTTCTATACTTTATATGTTTAATGACTTGTGTTTTTTGTGTTGTTTTCTTATAAGCAGGCTCCATGCTAGGCATGGAGCCCAAAGGCATGGAGTTCCAACATGGGGCTTGAACTCACAACCCTGAGATCAAGACCTGAGCTGAAATCAAGGGTAGGATGCTTAACCTACTGAGCCACCCAAGTGCTGCTAAGCTCATGTTAATCCACATAATATAAAGGACTTTTAAAATTAAATTTTAATATTTATCATTTAAAAATGGCCCAGACTAGGGGCGCCTGGCTGGCACAGCTGGTAGAGCATGCGACTCTTGATGTCGGGTTTTAAGTTTAAGTCCCACATTAGGTGTAGAGAATACTTAAAAATCTTTTAAAAAATAACAATAAATAAAAATTAAAATGGCCAAGACTAAATATTTTGATACATATCTATAGTTCTTTGAGTGGCAGGTCAGCGAAAAAAGACTAAATGACTCTCAAAACAAGAAGCCATTGGTGGATAAGCCATTACACGTTTTGAATACAGTCCAACCTCTGTATATCATTAAAAGCACAAAGGGAGAGTTGAGAGAAAATATTCTGAATAATTTGGTTCTGCACTTTTAAGTATACATTTTACAGCCCACAAATAATGTTATGTACAAACTTACGTGGAAGAGACACTAGAAGCTTCTTCCCTGATGATCACTGGCTGAACTTCTTTTAAATTTAATTTATTCTGGTACATCTTCTCTAACTTTGCCATAGTTTCCAAGTGGGCAGCTTTCAGCTCTTCTAGCTTCCTAAAATACTCTTCATTCGAGTGGTATATATCAGAAAAGTCCACAAAGTCCTCCTTGCTTATATGTGTTTGTTCGTCCACCTCAGAAATGTGGGTGTTAAAATCAGCCTGGTAGGAAATCAAAAACCTGTTATATGGTGTTTAGAACTGAAAGATGAATTAAATTGACACCGATTCCCAACGTTGCTTCTTAAAGCGTACACTTAATTAGGTCATACGTTACTTGTAGGCTACATACACATAATGGATTATAAGTTACTTGTGGACTATCCCCTAATGATATTTTATTAAGAATGAGAGATGGGACACCTGGGTAGCTCAGTCAGTTGAGTGTCTGACTCTTGATTTTCAGTTCCAGTCATGATCTTGGGGTTGTGGGATCGGCCCTGAGTCAGGCTCCCTGCTCAGCAGGGAGTCTGCTAGAGACTCTCTCTCCCTCTGCCCCTCCCCCCTTTCTCTATAATAAATGAATATTAAAAAAAAATGAGAGAGAGAGAGACAGGCAGACAGACACCAAACTGCCAGAAAATAAATGCTATTTAATTCATTTTATAAAGGATGGTTAAATTCCCAGTTCATATACCATGACAGGATAGACCCAAACCACCCTTTATAAAGAACCTCCTTCTGAGTTGTAAGTTTTAACTGAGGTGAAGAAAAACAGTTCTTCCTGCTGCAAACTGGCCAAACACAGCCCAATACCCACTCCTAGCTGGGGTCCTGAAGTGTGGGCCCCAAAGGTGTGCCACTGGAGAAAAGACATGGAAAGAGAGAAGTCAGGGAAATGAGAGAATGGGGACAGGGGAATAGGGGGAACAAATTTCTCACTGGGTCACCAAGGGGCCAGGGAGAAGGCCTCCTTGATGCCTCAGGAGGGAATAGGAGGGTGTGGGAGAGGGTAGGAGGGACCATCAGAAAAGCCACTTCTATTTTTTTTTTTTAAGATTTTTTTTTATTTATTTGACAGATCACAAGTAGGCAGAGAGGCAGGCAGAGAGAGACAGGAGGAGGCAGGCTCCCTGCTGAGCAGAGAGCCCGATGCGGGACTTGATCCCAGGACCCTGAGATCATGACCTGAGCCGTAGGCAG